AACGATTCATTAGAACAGAACAGAACATAACAGAACCTTAGTTCCATCACTGGCAAGCATAGACCTAAGTGGTTATTGATTTTCGTGATTAAGTCAAATACTCCACTCGTCTGCGTTTTTTTTATTCAGAGTTCCCGGCAAGGTCGTTTATACGTTGTCAACTGATGTTCTAACATCACACGTTTCAATCTGACGTCAAACGGTGTTTTATTTAAGTGAAATTGTTATTTGCAATGTGCATGTGCCAGTCAAAAGTGACACCAACCACAGTTAAGGTGATTATAATAATGATGATTAAGTGCTATATAACAGGCTACGTAACTGCGTTTTTATTCAGCTATGCCATGGTATAGGCTACCCGATATAATCTGTGAAACGTTTTATCACGGTGCATTATACCGCCATACTAGGGAGCCTCATTCATTCATGTGTATGTCTATGTTTGTTGCGACAAACGCAGCGATTAGTCTGCACTGTGCCTAGTACGAGTTGAATCCTCCAATTTGCTGGTCGTCCTTCATATGTTGTGCCAACCGTAAATGAGCTATTCATTGTAAAGACAATCGCGCATGTTAGACACACAACGCCGACCGTGAGTCTTGAATTACCATCACTTACCAGACATCGGCAAATGCCCGCTACATCGTAGCATCACCATGGGATGCAGTAACTCCAGTCATAACTGCGTTTCTCCCAAAAAGGAAGATAGTATGGAACAATTGCCACCGACATCATTAACAGATCAACACAGGGTCATACTGCTAGACTCTTGGAAGGTAATTCAGGAAGACATTGCCAAGGTTGGAGTCATCATGTTTATGGGGTAAGAATTGAGTACAAGCGTGCCTGTAACAACCGCTTTAATATTGAGAATTCATGTTATGTTTATGTCATACTTAACACTGTTTTTGTCTATACCTATAGTCGGTTACTGATCGTTCACATCCAGTGGTGCGGTAAGCTAAATTTCGTAAAGTACCAATATGGCAGTCACTGTGTCATTCAAATAGATACAGGTGACTGTTTGAAACACCCCTAGCGGTATTAAGCAATGCGTTGCTCATTAATGATATTTCCTCGAAAGATTCAAAAGATTGTGTGGCCATTAACTCATGGAATGAGGCACATGCAATCAATATAGCGAGCATAATTGATTTTTCTTTGATATTGCTTCGCAATTTGTGTTTTCGCATTTTGAGTTTGGACTAAATTGTTATGGCCTCGGCAATCAATATGCACAGCACGAACATCGTGTATACAAAGTTGATGACGCAACGGAGTTTTCCCACTAATTGGTTGATGATCTAAGCATGTTGCAAGCAATGTTACTGGTATTCCCATCAGTCGTGAGAAAAGTCAGTGGCAATAAAAGTAAAAGGTACTTGATGAATGGATATTTAACAAATTACGATATCATTGACTTGTTAATATTACTTTAGGCAAAGATTTAATTCGAGTCTTGGATATTTATGAACTGACACCGCAAGGCGACTGTGTTCATAGAACAGCATGATTGCAATTACTCTGCGAACACAGTGAATTTGTTTATGTCCTGCTCGTTTCTCGTCTGTGGTGTTGATTTATTTATTTAGTATCAGCGAGCTGCCGTGGAACGCGAGTAATTCTAGGGGCATCACATTCGCCCCGTAGTAAAAGATTTTATATACATTACCAGTAATCTTATTGAGCTCTAAACTTTATGCAGATGGATTATACAGCCACGAAGATGGGTCAAAAGGTCTCAACAATCATTCGTACCATGAACACATGCATTCACGGAGGCGTCGTTTGTTAGTAAATAATATGTTGTCTGGGACGTGAAGACGCCCAGTTTTCCGCTAAAACAGCTATTGTTTAAACGTGGAAACAATTTACATTTAAATGTTATTATAGTGACACTCCTCATCTTGAAATATAAGAACTAGTAGCGACTTTGGATATACCTCGTTTAAATGTTTAGAATACGTCATAAGCATGGGTGACCAATAGTGGCATCGACAGTGTATTGTATACTTGAACGTGAACGCTGCCGTAGACGTTTATAAAAAAAAGGCTACCGACACTCTTTCATTGAGACTGTTCTCCCTAAAATACCCGGGTTTTCCCCTGACATAGCTGTGCTTTAAGTATTAGAGCCTTATACATTGAACCACTGCTTTCTGATAACTAATGTTTGTTCTGGGGTTGAATTCTCATGTATGACTTATTGAACTGTAGAAACTGTAGAAACTTATGGTGTATTGAGTTTATATCATATTGTACATGTAATCATTGGTTACGGGAACTGTGAATGTTTGAAGGGAAGGAGAAGTAATAACATTGTTAGCTTAATTTGTACAGATTAAACCGTAACAATATAATTGATTTATAAGGCTCTGCCACAGTCGGGTGTAACACTCAACATTGATTTTATTATACCAACTTGTTTCTGGCAAAAGGAATAACTTAAAATAACTAACAATATATGTACAAATACGATACAACCCCCGTCATATTTTACTCACAGTCGTGGTTGAACAACATGAGCCCTGTAACTAGCATACAGCGATTATTGTTTCATTATTACATTACATTACATTAGCGGAATTATTGGTACATGTAAACTTGTCCCAATCGACATAATTTCGTAAAATATCGACCCCAATTAGTGCCGTACGCCTGATTACGTTTTAGAGACTAGCAATACTTGCAGAATATCAAGCGAGCAACTGCAGACGGTATTTATTATTTTCGTTCTAAAAAAATGTTTACGTTTGGGGCATTCTTCTAAATAGAAATCATTCCGTGGTATATCGTCTATTTAACCTCGTCATATGTAATTAAAAGGACAGAACGATCGATGTGAGATCATATAAACACGCAACACACGAGATTCGGAACGACGACCACGGCATACCGATCAGCCAGTGTAAACAGAAACGCACGTCACTACATAAAACTAACCGTCCACTACAAACGACTCGAAACGTGTGAACGCGAAACTAAAATGTTTAGATGGATATTCGCAAACTAAACTGCAATTTCATAGACCACCACGCACATACAAAACAAAGTATTCGTAGTTTCAAATAAATGTGTGTATGATGAACATTGACTCTCTGACTTCAAATTGTCAGATTAGGTAATTATCATACTATTGTCTAGCTATGGATATTCATCAGGCAATTATGGGAATTACATTATTCACTACATTGTGGGAATTACATTTGTTGCTAGTTAATCACTTACATTTAAAAATGTATAGTCCAGGTAATTTTTAACATCTTGGAATTCTTCCTAATATATATATATATATGTTTAGGTATCGTCTGTATTATTCCATCATCGTAAAATATTGTCTGAATATGTGCATGGTAGACATTGGTCCTCTCGATTTCATATTGCCTGACTAGGTAATTAACATACTATTGTTCAACTGTGTAACCCCATACAGCTGCATTTCAAGTAATTCAGGCAATTGTGGCAATAGTGAATATGGCAAATGGGGTTATCTTTCAGCACTTGGCTACGAATTACATGCACCAGCTGTTTATACGGAAACGTGCGGCTGAGAGACTGGTCGTCAGTGATCGACCCATCTATTCGGATTGTAAAACTCAGATGTAAATACGGATGTAAATGACTAAGCCATTACTGCATCTGGTACATTTTTTGAAAGATCTCTAATCGGACAACAAATCAACTGTTGTCAGTCAGTGAACAATTTGTTGGGTATTATCATCACGTGACCATTGTACCAGGTTGCGTCATCTACATCACCATTTTATTTACTCTAATCATTGTTAGTTGTTGCATATTCGCCGGAATAGTCCTGCTTCAAAAATATATCTATCTCATCATGGCTTGGCTGGAGAATTTTATATTTGGGGCGAGCGAACCACGTGCAATTGCGTGCACGTGTTTAATAACCGCTGTCCATGTGAGTGTTGCGCAATACCTGAATGAAACATATACTTAATCTGCTGATTGATTACCTCTCATTGAAATTTACTGCTTGTAACATATGGTATAGTTTAAGCGATCCCTTTTTATTTATTTAATATTTATTTATATATTTTTCCAATTTAATTTTTTCATAATATGTAATATCAATTAATTACAAAGACAGCAGTATTTCATGGCAATGCTTTGCCTATACTTGCAAGTAAGTACCCTACCATCGTAGCCCACTTTTGGTTGAAGAAGTTCACAGTTCGTTTTCGGTGCTATTTGCACAAGGTAAACTTTGGTTGAACCGTTTTCTTGGCACAGGTATGTGCTGCGACATTCAAAGATTGTAACTATGATGATTGTATCGACAACGGAAACCTGGAAGGGGTTGTTATGAAATATACATAGCGGAGTGAAAACGAAAAAGAAATCAATGCATTTGCCACAGTATGTAATATGATAACATTGAATATAATGAAATGCACACTTCGTTCACTAAAATGCAGTGCTCTATGCCACATCTTTGTCTAGGATTTATTTATTGGATATTGCCAGTGGCGACATTCTAATTCGCTTACCCATGTAAGTTCAGAATAAGTCAGCGAAGCCAGGAGCTTGTGTGAAATCACTGAAGGAGAACTTTTTTCCGTTCTGCTCTCTGGAGGTTAACATAGTTAAAGGTTGAAGTTATCTGCTCTGCATTTGAATACTCAATTGAAGTGAGATGAATCCTTCAACTCTTGTGTCCCCGTATAAGCAACATAAAATAGACTGGATGTGTTTTGAGTGTTTGAATGCTTCAGTAGTTAAAATTTACCCAATTGTCTTTAGAGAACAGACATAGAAATATTTAGTGATCCGTAATGAACTTCTATTCTTGTAATTAGACATTCTTTAGGAATTCAGTGAAATTACAATAGTAGTAAATAATTAACGTGTCCGGCTAATATGATTTTACGAAGTAAATAATTAGGTTTACTTGTGCAGAATACCATTCATTAGTCAATTGAAAAATGTTGTATTTTCTACGCCATATTCAGGCCACGTATACCGATTTTACGTATGTGAGGCGTATATATTCAAACGTCGGGTCTCTCTATGTCACTGCATGCGCCCTGTTTTACACTTTATTGGAAGTTCGTCGTAGAATAATGATGTTTAGTTCACATGATTAGTGTGGATAAATAAATAATAAGTAAGGAAGATGGAACAGTTTCCGAATGGTATGCTAAGACTATTGTGAAGCAACTGTGTCGTATCCTATAAGATTTGATACATAGTTAGTATTGGTTTGATGATTCGCGATATATACCTCGGGTCGGCAAGCTGTAAACATTTGTTTTTTTCATAATTATACTGATACCTAACTGATTTTAGCCGATTGTTTGCAATAATTTAAAAAAAATATAAGTTAAAAAAAAGAAACACATCCTTGGGGTCATTAAACTCACGGAGTGTTGTCTGTAATCAACATACCTCTTACGTGGTTACTGTTGGTTTATAGAGTCTGACTAGAAACTATTGTACTATCCACTTAATCATCTGTCACTTTAAGTACGTAACAAATATAATTAAATCCCATAACAAAAGAAAATGAAACTGGGCAAACAAAGACTGAAGCATGCAAGCAATTGTATGTTCTGTAGATATTAATGGCAACTAAAATTAAATGATATATGCGTACCATAGACTGTATTGTAATCACGTTTTATTAAATTAGGTAATGCATAAATACGTGATTAATTTCTGCCTTGAGTGGGACAACTAATTTCCGCTGATAGTTGCAATTTGGGATCATTTGGCAGCTCTGCTGATGTCTTGCGACTGTTATGTGACACATATGATGGCATGAATATGGGAAAATTACGGACAAGTTTTTGTGGATTCATTTGA